ATTTGATATGATGGAGAAAACTTTCTCCACTTTTCATGCCTCTAACATGGTTTTGCAGCAGCAGTATCGCGAAAGAGGCTTCCATAAATATTCTGAGCTGATCACCTATCTTTTGCTTGCCGAACAAAATAATAAATTTCTGTTGAAAAATCACGAATCTCGGCCGACAGGTGCAAATCCATTTCCAGAGGCAAATGCAATACAGCCGGAAAATCCGGTGCGTGGTCGTGGGCAATTCAGAAATCAGCGAATTGATCGCGATCGAAATCAGAATCGCAGACTGGGCCGGGCAAACGCACACAGTCACAATAATTATCAAAACAGGCCTCGATATGTGCCGAATCGGCGTTATAATGACAGAAGGCCGTACAGACCTCAACAGAGGTTCAACATCGGGAGAAACAGAAACAATGACGAGGAATGCACCCGGTGTGGAATCAAATGCCATTGGGCCCATGTTTGTTGCACAGCCAGTCATTTGGCTTAACTGTATCGGGCCTCAAAAGAAAGGCAAGGAAGAGTTGCTACCGAAACAAACCACGCTGCCCACGATGACACATTTGACGATGTGATGAATGAAAATATCACGCACCTGGATGCCGATGATCTGCTTGACATAGCTGATGATGTTAAATGATAAAATATTGTTGTATCTATTTTGTTATTTTGATGCTTTTTTGCTCCCCTTTTTGTATTACCCCTTATAATATAAGTCTATTTTGATTATGTTACTAATATATGTCTTTTATTATTTTTACCTTCTTGCAAAGATATGGATGCCAAATATTTTGGAGCCGATGACAATATATGCCTTATCGACAGGCTACGACTCACAGCATTCTGAAAAACAAATGTTATTTCTCCTACCTGAATATGGGAAAGACCACAATTGTTACTATCAGTGGTGTATCGAAAATGATTGAAGGCACAGGAAAAGCTACTGTATTTCTCCCAAAATGGACAAAAATGGCAATTGAAAATGCCTTGTTCTCGAGCAAAACTCGAAGGAATTTACTGAGCTTCAGTGATATTCGGAAAAATGGGCATCACATTGAAACATTGAATGAGGCAGAAAATGAGTATCTCTTGATAACTCATATTGTGAATGGCAAAATAATTGTGAAAGAAAAATTGCCATAATTTTCTTCCGGCTTATATTATTAAAAAATTAGTGCCATTGAAACATATCACATAGTAGACCAAATGGCTACTAGCGAATTTAAAACTTGACACGATCGACTTGGGCATCCTGGCAATGTAATGTTGAGGCGAATTGTCGAAAATTCAAATGGCCACTCATTGAAAAAGAAAAATATTTTGAGTCCGAATGAATTTTCTTGTGCTGTCTGTTCCCAAGGGAAGTTAATAATCAGGCCATCTCCAACAAAGGTTGGATTTGAATCCCCAGCTTTTCTGGAAAGAATTCAGGATGATATTTGTGGACCAATAGATCCACCGTGTGGACCTTTCAAGTACTTTATGGTACTAATCGATGCGTCAACGCGATGGTCACACGTATGCCTGTTATCTACTCGTAATCTAGCTGTCGCTAGACTACTTGCACAAATAATTAAATTGTGAGCACAATTTCCAGATTACCCGATAAAGAAAATACGTCTAGATAATGTTGGAGAGTATTTATCACATACATTTGATGATTACTGCATGTCAATTGGGATTATTGTGGAACATCATGTTCCCCATGTACATACGCAAAATGGCGTCGCTGAATCCCTTATCAAAAGATTACAATAAATTGCTAGACCATTGTTAATGAGGTCTAAACTTTCCGTATCATGTTGGGGACACGCTATATTGCATGACAACCCTCGTAAAAATAAGACCGACAAGTTATCACTATTATTCCCCTACTCAATTGGTTTCTGGAAAAATACCAAATATGTCTCACCTGCGAATATTTGGGTGTGCTGTTTATGTGCCAATTACACCACCTCAACGCACGAAAATGGGACCTCAAAGAAGGTTGGGTATATATGTCGGATATGAATCACCCTCGATCGCAAAATATCTTGAACCAACAACGGATGATTTATTTACTACGAGGTTTGCAGACTGTCATTTTGACGAATCACATTTCCCGACATTAGGGGGATACAGTAATCAACTGCAAAAAGAAATTTCGTGGAAAATACCACTTGAATTTTATCATCGTACGAAACATAGTAAACTTGAAGTTCAAAGAATTGTGCATTTGCAAAAAATTGCAAATCAATTGCCTAATGCTTTTAATGATGCTGCCAGAGTTACGAAATCATATATTGCAGCAGCAAATGCACTAGCCAAAATAAATATCCCAGAAGGGAAAGTGTCGAGTGCTAATGAGCATACTGCCCGCGTAAAACGTGCCAGACCATTGGGTTCCAAGGATAAGAATCCACGAAAAAAGAAAATTGTAAATACTGGTGAAGAGATTAACAATAATCAGATGCCTGAAAAAGTTAGTACAACCCCTGCAAAGGTTGATACTAAAAATGCTGATGAAAGTGATGATGAAGTTATTGAAACTTCCGTTAGCTATACCACCAGTGGAAAATATTGGAACAGAAAGAAAACAAATATTGATAATGCATTTGCATATTTTGTAGCACTCGATATAATGAAAGATGACGAGGATTATGAACCAAAATCAGTTGATGAATGTCGGTAAAGAGATGATTGAGCAAAATGGAAAGACGCAATTAAATCTGAATTGGACTCATTGAAAAAATGGCGAGTATTCGGCTCTATAGTCCAAACACCGGAAAATGTGAAACCTGTTGGTTATAAATGGGTGTTTGTGAGAAAAAGAAATGAAAATAATGATATCACAAGATACAAAGCAAGGCTTGTAGCCCAAGGTTTTTCCCAGAGACCGGGTATTGACTTTGAAGAAACATATTCGCCGGTCATGGATGGAATATCATTCAGGTATCTGGTGAGCCTGGCAGTAAACAATAATCTTGATATGCGATTAATGGATGTGGTTACTGCCTATCTTTATGGCTCATTAGACAATGACGTCTACATAAAAATCCCAGAAGGGATTAACATACCTGAATCATTCAAATCAAAGCCAAAAGAATCATATTCCATCAAATTACAAAAATCTTTGTATGGGCTCAAGCAATCGGGCTGAATGTGGTACAATCATCTCAACAAAAGCTTAACCAAAGAAGGTTATATAAATGACCCTATATGTCCATGTGTTTTTATAAAGAAAAATGAGTCTGAATTTGTAATCATCGTTGTATATGTCGATGATCTCAATTTAATTGGAACTCCTGATGAAATCCAAAAGGCTATTGAATATCTGAAAAAAGAGTTTGAGATCAAAGATTTTGGAAAAACCAAATTTTGCCTTGGTTTGTAAATTGAGCACTTGGAAAGTGGAATCTTCATCCACCAATCAAATTATACCAAAAGGGTACTGAAACAATTTCTGATTGATAAGTCACATCCGCTAAGTACCCCAATGATTTTCAGGCACTCGATCCAATAAAGGATCCATTTAGACCAAAAGAGGAAAACGAAGAAACAATTGGCCCTGAAGTGTCATATATGAGTGCTATAGGCGCATTAATGTATCTTGCTAATAGCACCCGACCTGATATATCATTTGCTATAAATTTATTGGCAAGATTCAGTTCATCACCTACTCGACGACATTGGAACGGGACATTTTTCGCTATCTCCAAGGAACAATTGATCTCGGGTTATTTTACTCGAAAGATTCTCGACATGAATTAATTGGTTTTGCCGATGCAGGATATTTATCGGATCCTCATAAAGCCAAGTCGCAAACTGGCTATATATTTACTTGTGGCGAAACAGTGATCTCTTGGAGATCGATGAAACAAACTTTAACTGTCACTTCTTCAAATCATGCTGAAATATTGGCAATACATGAAGCTAGTCGAGAATGTGTTTGGTTGAGGTCAATAACTCAACATATTCTGAAAAATTGCGGGTTAATACCTGACGATAAAATTCCCCCAACTACATTGTATGAAGATAATACGGCTTGTATAGCCAAATTGAAAGGGGGTTACATTAAAGGAGATATAACGAAACATATTTCACCAAAATTCTTTTTTACTCATGATCTTCAGTAGAATGGTGAAATTGATGTGCAACAAATCCGATCCGATAATAATTTAGTGGACGGCAACATTTGAAAAACTGGTGAAGAAAATTGGGATACGTCGGTTAAGGGATCTTAAATAATGCTCAGATCAGGGGGAGCGAATCGATACAAGAATGTTGTACTATTTTTCCTTCACTAGGATTTTTTTGTCCCACGGGGTTTTTTCCTAGTAAGGTTTTAACGATGCACATTCTTTGTATTAAAGTATCTAAGGGGGAGTATCATGAAATGTACACGTAATAAATTCGTGTATGAATTCTAGATGCTAATTTTATTTGTCTTGATTTAGCTACGTAGGCGATTCGTATGTATTGTGTAGCCTTCCTGTTGTCTATAAATAAGGTCTAATTAATGAATGAAACACACACCCCCAAAATCTTCTCTCTCGTGTATTACTTCACTCACTCTCTCACTTCATTTATTACTCACATAGCTAAAATACATATTACATATCCATACATTACTACCCTAAAATACACACAACACATACATATATATAGAATTACACAACACGCCACACACTTATATCTATATATATATATTTACATACACAATATATATAATATTATATACAAAATATAATAATCTCACAAAACTTTTCTTTTATTATTATTATTTTTTCCTCTTAAATAGCACTATGAATGAAAACAACCATAAAAAAAAGAAAAAAACGGTAGCATATGAAGCACGTGCCCCTCTGTGTGAAGGAGCATTGCAGTATTTACATTATATTAAAGTCTGTCTTTTAGTGTTGGCCACGCGCTCACCGTCCATTCTCCGGTCAAAACTAGGCATCGTAGGTATTATTCAACACGGATGGATGTCTGTCGTCTCTCCCTATATTTATGTGTGTTGTGTAGTAGTAGTACTACTACACATTACAATTTGCAATAGGGTCATCCCCAAATTCCTGCACATCAATTATTGCACAAAACACAACACACACATACCAAACCAAACAAAACAAAACAATCGCAGTACCAAAGATGGCCACCGCTTCTTCCATCTCCGCCACTCTTCCGGCTACCAAGCTCCGGCCGACCGGCGCCGCTTTCCTCCTCCCCCAGAAGGCGGCGCTTCCATTCCGGCCGTCCAAGCAACCATCTCTTCTCTCACTCTCCACTCGTAACAACAAATCAATATCAAAATCATCCATATCCTGCTGCGCCGCTGCAGATTCCAGATCCTGTAAGTGCCTCCCATCCGATCATATCTCGATTTTTTTCTCATTAAATAACTAACAAACAAATGATTAAATTTTAGCCACGAAAGTCCAAGAGCTCCACCTCTACGAAATCAACGAGCGCGACCGCGGCAGCCCCGCCTACCTCCGGTTGAGCCAGAAAACCGTCAATTCCCTTGGAGATCTCGTCCCCTTCTCCAACAAGGTACTTTACTTACTGCAATTATATACTATTTACATTACATATGCTATAATACTAATAGTACTGTTGTTGTATGCATTTATTATTAGATATTTAATTAAATAAGATGAAAGAAAAATAAATAAATAAATAATCAAATGAAATAATTTGTCAAGTTTCATTTATTTGATATACTACTTCCGTTCCGCCAAAAAGATTCATTTATTTTTTGCGTGCGTGTTAATTACTGTATAAAAATATTGTACAAATAAAAAAAATGACAAAAATATCTTTATCATGCTATGATATTTATAAAAAAAAAATTATACAAATATAAAATTATTTTTAATGTTAAATTCGTAAAAGATAAATACGATTTTAGAGTGAGTAATATATATATATGGTTTACTGGTATTCTTCTATCCAGATAAATGATCTGTGGATGAACTAATTCGCTTTAAAAAAAACTGCGATCTAAGCGATGCTCGAATTTAATTTCACATTCTATCTAATTCGTATTTTTGTAGCTTTATCTAAAATTTAGCCAAAAATATTTTTCAAACTTAAATTGATGTGTACTCACTCCCTCACCGCTCACCGACCAAATCAGATATACACCGGCGACCTGAAGAAGCGGGCGGGCATAACGGCGGGGATCTGCATTCTGATAAAGAACGAGGCGGAGAAGAAAGGCGACAGGTACGAGGCGATTTACAGCGTGCACTTGGGGGACTACGGCAGCATATCGGTGCAGGGGGCGTACCTGACCTACGAGGACACCTACCTGGCCGTGACGGGGGGCTCCGGAATCTTCGAGGGGGTGTACGGCCAGGTCAAGCTCCAGCAGATCATCTTCCCCTTCAAGATCAAGTACACTTTCTACTTGAAAGGTATCCAGGATTTGCCGGCGGAGCTGCTCGGCGATCCCGTTCCGCCGTCGCTCCAGGTCGAGCCAACGCCGGCAGCCAAGGCCTGCGAATCCGGCGCCACCATACCCAACTACAGTAACTAGATTTTACTATGATACAGAGATCTATCTAATCTGGTCTGGAATGGAAGGGATAGTGCGGTGTGGCGTGGTAGGGGCTTGCACTGTGATAATTTGTGTGTGATGATGGTGACTACATGATGTGATATGATTTGATTTCAATTGTTTTCTTTACAAAAGTAAAGTCCCACGTGGATGTTTTGTTTTTATTAAAAAATATTGTATTAATATATTTTAGTAAGAAGAAGTGGCATAAAACGTGCAAACTTGTGTTTATTTTATGAATAGGTCACACTTTTTAATAAAATCGTACGTAATTTATCAATTCCTACTTTCACATATATAGATTTATTTGAATTTTTTTTTTAAAATGTAAAGTAAGAATTTGGTTGATAATATAAACATTAATTTTTACGTTGAATATTGCTTTTGTGATATAATAAAATATATATATATATATTAAGTTGAAGTATTTTGATTTTTTTCACTAATTTGTTTAAAGTTGTTGTTAGTAAATATCTGTAAAATAGTCGGATATCGAATTTGTTGCACATCGATTTAATTATTTTTTGCAAGTTATGAGTAAACAAAAATTTTGATAAAATATATTTTGTTCTATCTCCTCTGAAATATCTCTTTTATTGAACCATACATGTTATATTGTCTTCATATGTGATTGTTGGGAGATTTTCATTTTCAAACATTGACCACAATTCTTTTGAATAAGATGGGTAATTGATCTCAACCAAACACATAATTGAATATGTAATACCCCGTAAATTAATTGCCGTAAGTTCTCTGGAGCTCGCCGGAGTCCGACACTGGAGTTGGACAATATTATTTTGAGTTTTTTGTGTAAGAAATTAAGGAATTGAATTTAAATTATGAGTAAAAATTGAGTTTGGACCAATTTGGGCCAAAATAGAATAAAATAAATAATAAAGACTCTAAGTCTTTTATATTTAATAAAGTATAAAAAAAAAAAATAGAGGCAGCAGACACGCAGGCCGCCAACCCCCTTCGTCCTTGGAGTTGTCCTTGTCCAAAACTCTATCCTCTTTGGAATTAATCTTAAATAGATGATATGTTGTAATACCTAGACCCTTCTATTGATTTTTTCAAAATTAGTTTTAAATGGGTTTGTCCTAAAAGTGTTAGGTTTTGCTAATTTTTTCTAAAAGGTTGATTATAATCTCCCATAAGGTTTTTGTGAAGATTATTATATTATTTTAAATTGAAAATTGTAGAATTTGTAGAATGAGTTTGAAACCCTAGTTTTACCCTAACCGAGTTATGATTTTTTTTTTTAAGAAAAGATTTATGCCTATTGGGATGAAAATATTTTTTGAATGTTTATTCGGAAAATTAAAGTGAGATTATAACGAACTTATTGGGTTTTAATATTCCACTTTTTGGTTGGGTTAAATGTTGACGATTGGAATATTTTGAGTTGAAAGTTTTCTTTTTGAAATTTGCATAGGAGCATGTTAAGTATTGGGTCAAAATGGTGATTAAAACTACCCACCGAGTCCGATCAACTCGTCGATTGTTTGGATGATAAGACATAGTCTTCCACCTTTGTGCCTTGCAAACATGTGAGGGTATACCGGTTTTTAGGATAACTAGCTAAACTCAAATCGGATCCCGAATGGGCTAGGTCGAGGGATCGATATGACAGGTTCCCTTTTAGGGTAATTCTGAGGTGCTCGTTATTCACAATGAAAAAGGTCTTTGGACCGTCATCCGTGATGGAATGTTGGATTGCGTACAATCCCCTCTTGGTATGTTATATTGGATACTAGAGGGTTGTGGGCCGTTTGGCGCCCCTCACAAACTAATAAATAAATTGACTTATGTGTACTTTTGGGCTTCGAACCCTTAGATACACATTGTGGAGCTTTCCTTAAGGGTTGTGACTCTATGTTTGTTATGTGTAACTATGTGACGTGTCATACGAAGTAATAAGATTGAAAAATCAGGTCAAGCCGGCCCTAATTAAGGCCTAGTGGATTTTTTTCGTGATGTACTCATCACAATTATTTGAGAATGAAAAAAATATATAAGGGAGGCGTTAAAAGACTCGTGTGTGTGAGTTACCTTTATGTGATATGTTTCATCTTATTCAAATTATTTTTTTCAAACGATTTTGTGGCATTATACCGTATTAATTTATCTTCTATTAATTGTGCTTACTCAACCGTTGTTTTGACCCTCTTCTTAGAACCTTTTTGTAGGTGATGATACTTGTATTATACCTAAATGATACATCCACATCATGTGATCCATCGGGGGGAACTATAACTACTTTACCTTCTAAAATGCTTTTGAAATTCATTAATTATGTTTAAAGGCTAATGTCTTTTGAACTATTTTCAACTTATATTTTTTACTCGAACTTTACTTATTTAATTAATAAGTCGGTGCGCTTTCATTTTAAATCCCTATTTAGTTGTTTGTATTCATTGTTTTAGCCTTAGCGCCACAACGTAGGGCTCGTTAGTTGATGAACAAGCCTTTTGGTTGTTGCGTGACAGTGACACTCCGGTTTGAGTTGGCCGAGGTGTTACAAAATAACTAATACTTTGGTATGATTAGATGATCCGTCGGTTATTGTCTGTTTGGTAAATTTCCAGGAGATTCACAATATCGCCACAGGTAAATATATAATCGGTTTGTAAATTTGCTTTGTGCGGGTCAAACAAATACCCAGCATTGACATAGCCTAATAATTTGTGTCGAGATTTATTCGAATAAAATAGGCGAACATCACTTGTCCCCTGGAGATAACATAAAACATGTTTAACCTCATTCCAATATCGTTTAGTAGGAGATAGAGCTAAATCTGTCAATAAATTTACTGTAAATGCAATATTTGACATTGTGCTATTTGCTAGGTATATGAGTGCATCTATTGCGTTGAGATATGGTAAATCAGGACCAATTATTCTTTTTATCATTTTTTTTTTGTCTAAATGGATCCTTGTTAGGATTAAGTGATCCAACGATCATTGGTGTATTCAATAAATGTATTTTTATCCATATACAATGGTTTTAATACCTTTTGAGTATAATTATTTTGGTGGATGAATATTCTATTATCCACGTATTCAATTATAAGACTAAGACAAAACTTTGTCTTCCAAAGTCTTTGATCCCAAATTCTTTTTTTTTTTTCTAGATATTTCACAGCTGATTAGAGTTTTAAAGAGTTCCAGTAATATTGATATCATCAACATATACTTTAATAATCACAAATTATGACCAATTTTAGGGACTTTCATATAAATATTATTTTCCAATGAGTCCATCAGGTGCATGTCGAGTTTTTCATGCACTGTTAGGTTTATGAGGTATTTGAATATGATATCATCCATAATTGGAGAATATGTTTCATCATAATCAATCTCAGGTATTTGTAAGAGTCATTTGGCTACAAGTCTCACTTTGTATCTGATAATTTCATTTTTTTTTATTTTTTTCTCACAGATACCTATTTGCATCCAACTGGCTTAACATCTTTTATTGTTTGAATTATAGATCCAAAAACAATTCTTTTGGCCAGTGGATCTAATTCAAATTGGATCACATCTTTCTATTGTGGCCAATTATTTCTTTTCCGACATTTATCAACTGATGATTATTCAAGAGTCTCGTCATTCTCCATTATATCAAGTTCCATGTTATATGCAAAAACATTATCAATGAATATTTCCTTTCGCTTCCAACATTTTTTTGTAGTTGTGAAGTTAATTTGATTTTCAATAACTTAATTATCTTATAATGTAAGCTCTTCAGGAGCATCCTCTTCAAGGATTTATTTCTTGTCGGTACAAGTTGTTAGAGATATTGAATCATTTATCAATACCTTTTTCTTTTGAGGATTTTTATTCTTAGAATCCACAGGTCGGCCACACTTCAGATTCATAGAAGATCCATTGGCTCTTTTGATTTGTTCTTCTGTGACATTCATTTTCTCCGGTGTATTTGTTACAGGAATATATGATTCGGTGAATCTGCTTGAGTCATTAAATACATTCGGTAACTGATTCACAATTTATTACAAGCGTATAATTAGTTGTACTTCTAATTCACACTTTCGGTAACGAGGATCTAGGAAATTCATAGGTATTTTTCAAGAATTTTTTTTTTTCAGTTGATTTTGTTCTCCTCTTAATATCGGGAAATTAGTTTCTTCAAAACAACAATTTGTGAATCGTGTAGTAAACAGATCACCCGTCAATTTCTTTTGTCAGTTGATTCGGTTCTCCCCCTATTGTCAGGAAATGAGTTTGTCAAAATGAAAGTTTGTGAATCAAACAGTAAACAAATCACCCATCAATAGTTCGAGGTATTTGATTATCGATGGTGATTCGTATCCGGCATAAATTCTCAAACAACGTTGGGGGCCTATTTTTTTACGTTGACGTGGTGCAATCGGCATGTGAATTGCGCATCTAAAAATCCTCAGGTGAGAAATATTGGGCTCTTTTCTAAATACTAATTGTGTTGGGAAGTATTTCTGATAGCTTGTCAGTCTGATTCGCATAAGTGCTACTGCATGTAATATTGTATGTTCCCAAGCAAAAACGGGGAGTTTGGATTTCATCAATAATGATCTGAAAATTAATTGCAGTATTTTGATAAAGAATTTTTTCAAACCATTTTGAGTGTGAACATAAAGAACAAGATGTTCAACAGTTATTCCCAAAGTCATGCAATAATCGTCAAATGCTTGTGATGGGTATTCACTAGCATTATGGAGACGAATTTTCTTTACTGGATAATCAGAAAATTGTGCTTGCAATTTAATTATTTTTGCAAGTAACCTTGCAAACGCTATATTACGCGTAGATAGTAAGCATACGTGTAACCATTTTTTTATGCATTAATAAGCACCATAAAATATTATATGGCCTACATAGTGGATTTACAGGTCCACATATATTAGTTTGGATTCTTTCCAAAAATGATAAGGATTCAATCTCAATTTTAGTTAGTGACGGCCTGATTATCAATTTGTCTTGTGAGTATACATCACACCAAAATTCATTTGATTTCAAGATCTTTGGATCTTTCAATGAATGACCAATGAATTTTTCAATTATTCGCCTCATTATAGTATTTTTTAGGGATGTCAATGGGTCCGGGTAGACCCGAAACCCGACCCGGACTCGACCCATTTATTTGGGGTCGGGTCCAATTATTCGGGTATTGGGTCCGGGTCCGGGTCCG